TGCAGCCAGTGACCTGGACGGCCGCGTGTCTGTGCGGGAGCACAGACTTCCCATGGTGCCCAGGTCCTTTGCTCATATCCTTTAATCACCTTTTTTCTTGTCACAGAAATTCTAATGGCTGCCCAGCTTTGTATCAGGGTTTGTTAGGAGTGAGGTCTGTTTCTTTGAATGAGCAATTCAATATAGTTTACAAAATCTTTATTTCTTGGTTTCATCTGTAAATATACTTTGGTTCCACAAACATGTCACCTGTTGATACAGGGCAACAATCACTGGAGTAACTGATATACTTCTCTAATTTGATTAGTGAAACCTGTTGTGCATTTTTTACATTGTTTTCAGTACTCAGGAGACTGTTCCTACTTTTTACTTAGAGAAAATAATTTGGTGTTCTCCTTTTAATTTAATAAACTCTGCTTACTTCTTGCTATTTTTTCTTCCTCCTTTCACTCCACATCAAGCCTTTTTACAGACTCCTTTCCTCTTCATTATTAAAATGTACATGCCTTTAAAAGTGAACTCAGCAATGGAATGTTAATCACTTCCAAGTCAGAAATGTCATTTACAGCTAGATATATAACCTTAACTCAGTCTCTGGTGTACATACATTTATTTTGCATATTATTCTTCAAATAATTGAAACTGCAAAGGGAGTATATGTTGACACAAAGTAATTACACACTTTGGATTTCAGCCAGGGAGTTAAAATTAAAATTTATAATCTCATAAAAAGTGCAAGAGATCTTTAATGATCACAGGTAGTTTGGACTTTTCCATTTCAAAATGAGCAACAGAGAAATTGAGTTATATCCATGAATGTGCTCATGTGTATTCTCAGCTCAAGAATATACCCAACTGCCACCTACAACACAAGTTTGGGTCAGGCCTTTCTGTGGAGAAGCGTGCTCCCACAGCCCCTGGTGAACTCTGGAATAGCACTTGCTTACCAAGTACCTAGTTGTCCTAGCCGCAAGTAAGGGAGAGAAGCCCAAAGCTGTCTGTTTTATCAGGTTCGAACCCCTTGATAACAAGAACACCTGAAAACCAGAGCTGAGCTCCATACAACACCCGTGATCCAACTAAACAAAGTAGGAATGGGAAAGAGCAAGGCTGGCAGTTTCTTGACTGTCACAGAAAGAAAAGGCCAGTATAGATCCTGTGGAAGACCTCTTGCAGCAAGATGGTCTCTTATCAAGATTTGTTGCTGAGATGAAGAAATTTAATTAAGTCCTCAAAGAAGGTGAAGAGTAACCTTGTTTCTTTCCACAGCCATTAAACTTTTCTTCACAGCTCATTGTGTCTCTTAAAGCACAGAACATTTTTCAGCATCATAAAGTAACCTGACTAAATCATCAGTTACAATGGTTTCTCTACATGTCAGTTATTTTACTCCACATTCATATCTTGGTTCTTTCTCTCAGCTGCCAGGACACCCTCCCTGACAAAGCTCTGTGTGTACGTGTGCATGTCCATGTGCACATTCATGTGTATACATCTGTCTAGTCACTTGCTGTTCAGGTAGTAAAAAGTAAAATAATAAAGGCAATCTCTGTATTATCACTTTGTTGTTTTTTATACTTTGTGTAAAAATTTCTGTAACATCTGTGAGCACAGTTGACAGTAATGGAGCTTATTGCTTAGGAAACTTCATGCTCTATTTCTGAATTGGCTCTTTTCTAGGCTAGCAAACTTATTGCACCTGCCTATTGTATCCTACCTTGAAAAAAACACTATCTGAACAAGTGACAGATTTCTTCCCTAAGCATCAGAGGTGTTTACTGTCCATTTTACCAGACATAATGAAGACTGAGACTCATTTATAGCTCATAAAAAGCAAATAGTATCAACTACTATATCTCTGTTTCCAGCTGGAAACACACACACAATTCAGATGAATCTCCTGAATCAAAAAAAGTATTGTGCTTCTTTCTAGCTTGCTGAACAAACCCATTTTTACTTTGAATCCTTTTGCACCCCTGGAACCCAAAGTTGCATTGGGTTTCATGGGTCTGACTTCCTGCCATTTTGCTGCTCTTGCTGCGCATGTACTTTCAAATAACATTTTAGAACATGCCTTGCTGTTTTAGAGATGAAGCAATAAAATCCAGGCTATAGAATTAATTGAGAGGAAAATAGAGGAAAGCAACAGAAGGATTTCTGCTTTTATCAATACCGTTTTAATCAGAGAACCGATGGTCATCAAGGCATTGTAGAGGTTGAAGGGTTTAATCCTTATATCACAAGCTGGCTGCAAGTTTTCATAGGGTTTAGAAAAAATGTGCAAAGAATGCTTCAGTGCTTTAGCTGGACACAGGGGCTACCTTTGGAGAACAAATTAAAAAAATCCTTCTAATCTCACACCAGAGCAGAACTACTGCTCTAATTAATTCAAATATGTTATGCAGCACTCGTGATGAACACTATTTTATGACTGTCTTAACCCATCTAAGGCTATATGGGAGACACAGTTTGATGTTATTCACAGGAGCAGAATTCCCACATATTCACCTCTGCCCGGTGTTTTTCAGGATCAGTATTCCTTGGAGCTATTTAAAGAGCTGTAGTATGCAAGACTAACTAAAGGTTTGTACCTTTAAAATGTCTGCCTTTGCAGCAGTGGTCACGTTACTAGCTTCAGCTATTCAATAAGGCTATTCTTTTAATTTTATTTCTTTCTCACTATAGTGTATCTGATGACTTACCACATACAATAGCAAAGTAATAATCTCTGCTTTCACATCATCTTGACCATAATGTTGATAAAGCAGGTGTTTTTTCCTCACTTTCCCAGTGGAGAAAGGACACATCATTTTCTTATGAACAAGCCACAAAAGCACACAGATGTCTTCATTTCAGTGCTCAGAAACAGCTTAGCTAGATCAAAGTTGATACCACATACAGAGAGTCAGAGTTTGCCCTTTCAAATTAATAGCAAAACTCCCATTGATTTCAGTAGAAACAGGGATGAGCCTTCAAACACTGTTAGCCATCCTCTACATTCCTCAGCTTTAAATTTTGCTTTATGGGTGGGTAAATTGGGGCGGGGATGCATGTGTTTCACTTCTGTACAGCACTGTGTTTGCTCACATTGTGGAAAAAGCATAGATGTTGCTAACACAATTGGTTTGATTGTTTCCATATTTCTCCTTTTTTCCAAAGGTCTCAAATCCAGAAGTATTAATGAATTAGTCAAAGACATTGTCAAAGAACAGTTTAAAGTATTTCAAGGTGAAATGCAAGAGAGCATGGCTCAAATTTTAAAGACTGTGTCTAGTTTGTCAGAAGATCTTGAAAATACAAAAGATTTAGTCAAACATCTGAATAAAACCCAACAAAAATTTGCTCAGGAGAAAGACAGTGGGCCAACAAAGCTTGACATTCTGGAGCTAAAGAGTCATATGGTGCAGATGAAAGAGGAAATGACCCTCACTTGTGACAAGCCTATGAAAGCTTTACAAGAAAAGCAGAAATCCTTGGAAGATAACTTGGAGCATCAACAGTCAAGAAGTGTCATTTATTATGAATCTTTAAATAGGACTCTTACTGAAATGAAAGACGCTCATGAACAACTGTTATCAGCTGAACAGTCTTCAAGCCAAAACATCCCCTCAGCAGATAAAGTCACAGAGTACAATGTTACAGAGTACATGTTCACACTGCATGAGAAAGTGAAGAAACAAGGCATGATGGTGCTGCAAATCTATGATGACTTAAGAGTCCAGGACAGCAAGATCAGCAATCTCAGTGTTGCACTGGAAATTCAGAGAGACTCTGTTCTGGGAGTCTGTGATGACATGTTGTCAGAGAGCAGAAGGGATTTCCAAACACAGCTGGCAGCAACCCAAGAGAATGTGCTTGTCCTAAACAAAAGTCTCTCTGACCTGGTCCTTCCATTGGACAATAAGATGGATAAAATGAATGAGCAAATTAATGATTTGTGCTATGATATGGAGATTCTACAACCCTTGATTGAACAAGGGGTACCTTTTAGCCTGACGTCAGAGTATGATCAACAAATCCAAGTTGAAGCAATCAATGAGAAGCTTGAAAACCTCACGACTGTCATGAACAGAATGAGTTCTGCAATTAAGGAGCTTTCCAAAACTCAGGAAGGACTTAAAAATGAATCTCAGGCTTATCAGGAACTGTTTGAGAGTCGTGTTAATGAATGTTCCATGGAAATAGAAGATGGATTAAACAAGACAATGATAGTAATAAACAGCGCTATTGATTCTATTCAAGATAATTATGTACTGAAAGATACGCTACGTGCTCTAAGAAATGAGAATGAAGTCTGCTGTGGCAGAGCTGAGAAACTGGACAGCCTCCTGGCTTTCATTCCGCAGTTCCAACAGTTGAATGAATCCCTCCAGATACTGCTCATTGAGAAGAAGTATGAATTCACTTCACAAGGAGCTCCATCCCTTTCTGATCTTCCATACGAGGAGTCTGACAAAAATATCCTCCACAATTTCAGAAGATTTTTCTATATTTTAAATGAAACATCATCAAAAGTGGACAATCAACAACAAGACATCAGCCGCCTGGAGGAAAAACTATTTGACTCTGTAGAGGAATCAAGGGACCATGAGGTTCGCCTTCTGAGTGTGGAGTCAAAAATTTCCAAGTTTTTGGCACAGAACTGTGTCTCACTGAAAAAAACTAAAGCTGCCTCAACAGACAAAGAACAAGTGGTCTCACTTCAGCTCCAGACACTGAGTTCCAGGATCAAGGCTCTGGAAGCCAAGTCGATCCGCTTCTCAAACAGCATTCCACTTCTGAACAAGACTGCTCATGAGGCCTGGGGGCTGTGTCAGGATACCACCAGCAGCATCCAAAAAGTGAATGCGAGTATACCCATGCTAATTAAACTTGCTCAGCCAGATATCCCCCTGCTGCAGAGAGGCCTCAAAGAGCTTATTGAATCTGTGCTTGAAATAAAAGCAGGAACTATCTTGACAAATTTAACCCGGCATGTTGACATATCAGTGGCAAGTGCAATGAACAACATCACCAAACTTCAGAAACAGGTGAAACCAGTTATAAAGAAACCAGCACCAGCAAAAAAAGGGGCAACAAATGTCACCATGAGCCTGGCAAGCCGAAGTCAGAGAAATGCGGATAATACTATAGATTCAGGTAATGCATTTTACTCTACTACAATTAGGGTCTTTGACTACAATTAGGGTCTTTGTAATAAAGTCTTAAGTAATGATTGTGATGAACTGTGGTGGAAGCACTTGACTGAGGGTGAATAAAAAGTCCAAAGAATGCCATAAAGAGTGTTTCAGAGGAACTTGAGGTTACTGTAGTCTCTTGCCTACAAGACAATTTATTTTTCTTATGAGGAGACTCCGCACTAAGGTGTCTAGAAGCTCCAGTTAACTTTCCTTAATAAATTCACATCTGATTAGTTTAAGATATATGTGCATGCACACACACTCAGATGAGAACCTGACCTTTGTAACTGTCAATTTAGACAAAATCTAAATTACAATAATTTTGTGCCTGCATCTCAATTAGCAATTTCAGTAAAAAAACCATGCAAGCTGGGAGGGAAATCTGGGATTGTATCAGTACTCTGCAGTGTTGGTGGGGATGAAAAGTGTCAAAAACCTGAAGCAAGTTAATACACCAAATGACTGTAATGAGGCTTTTGCTAGCTCCTTCAGTACTTCACTGAGATTATTAGTGCAGTTAGAATTACGACAGCGTGTTCTTGGAGAATCAGGAGCCCAGCCAATAAAATAGGTTTGACCCAAGTCCATCTGGAGAACAGCTCAGTTGAGTAGGAGCTGCCATTCTTAAAAAGGACATTTTGAGTGTGATTCACTTCTGAACTTAAATTCAAACATCATCATATGAAATGAATTCATATGGATGAATTCACAGAAATACACACTCTGAGTTATGACTTTTGGAATCAGACCTGAGTGAAAATCAATAGCCCCAGCTAAAGTTTTATCGAAATATCATTTCTGGGACAATACAGAAAATTAAGAGTGGTTAAGTGACTAGAAATCTTCAGAGGACTCTAATTCACACTAAAAAAAGTGAGACAGATTCCTAAATGACAGATAGATGTCCAGGTACTTTTGAAGACTCACGCCTAAATCTTTTCTGTAAAGCATTCTTAAACTTATGAACATTTCTGAAACGATATGTAGTCCCTGTTGTCATGGTTTAACCCCAGTCGGCAACTGAGCACCTCACAACTGCTCGCTCACCTCCCCCCCCGCCCTACAGTGGGAAGGGGGAGAGAATAGGGAAAAAAAAAAGTAAATCTGGTGGGTTGAGTTTAATAGGACAGCAGAGAAAGAATAATAATGACAAAAGAATATATAAAATAAGTGATGCGCAGTGTAATTGCTCACCACCCGCTGACCGATGCCCAGCCAGTCCCTGAGCAGCAATTGCTGCCACCCAGCCAACTTCCCCCAGTTTCTATACTGAGCATGACATCATATGGTATGGAATAGCCCTTTGGTCACTTTGGGTCAGCTGTCCTGTCTGTGCTCCCTCCCAGCTTCTTGTGCACCTGGCAGAGCATGGGAAGCTGAAAAGTCCTTGAGTAGTGTGAGCACTACTTAGCAACAACTAAACCATCGGTGTGTTATCAACATTATTCTCATACCAAATCCAAAACACAGCACTATGCCCACTACTAGGAAGAAAATTAACTCTATCCCAACTGAAACCAGGACAGCAGATGTAGGGGTAGTAAGAGCTACCACTCTTGTTCATGTGCTAAGACTGTGGGCAATCTCCCTTTCCCTCTCCAAGCCTCTTCCCTCCCTTTCTCCTCCCCCCCACCCCTGCTTTGTCTCCTCCTGTCCTAGGTACAGCACTTTTCAGTTATCAGTAGAAAGGATCCTTTTTAAAGCCTTAATCCCATGAGTAGCTTGGCTTCTGCTGAAAGCCATTTCCACTGAAGGATTTCAGTCCTTGGTTATCTTTTCAATTAGAGAGGACACACAGCTATTCCAACAGGCAGTCACATTTAAAAATCACTGAGATTTGCCAAATTCGTACTACAAAGTAATTTGATTATTTTGATATTAGAAATGGCAATTCTTTCTCAGTCATTTCTGGTTTCTGCCTGTTCCTGCCACGGCACAGGATGGAAATTCAAAACCCTTGTTCACAATTAAAACTGAGGGAAAATGACATGTGATGCCTTTGATCTTTCCTGAGTCTTCTACTTTGTTGGAGAATTTCACTAGTGCTACCTGCCTGGAGCACAGGAAGCTGCCACCTGCTGTTTTTTACTCCACATTAATGAATTAATGTCTTAACTCTTTATCTCATGCTGAATTTTAGCAAATAGCTTCCTTGATAACATTGGATGTATGCTTACAGAAAGTGCAGATGTTTGTAGATGTTGAAAAGCCCTATTTTTAAGCAAGTTTTCTACATAGCAATGTTTATGCAGACTTTTCCATCTGTAATGAGCTTTTGCACTCAACGATATTTCATGCCTAGAAAAGTCATACATTACATTTCTGTAAGTTAAAGAAGAAAGACCATTATCCTAATTAACAGGTATCCCTCTTCTGCCAGTGTAGATTTTACTTCTCCAGGAAAGTTTTTCTCCAGGAAAGTTTCAGGAGACCATCCAGAGATATGTGCCAGCTCTACTAAAGTTTCTAGAAGAAACCCTAAGACATAATTGGCTAATTATAAAATGTATTTGATCTTAGATTGTTTTTTTTTCAATTCAAAAAAATTAGAATAGAATTCTAGAAAGAGGTGAATGACAATTCTCATTGATTTCAGTATGTTCAATATTTGATCCTACTCTAACAGATTGGGATTTTCATTGGCTTTAATGGGTTCAGGATTTGGCCCTGGGGTAATACTTTCCTCAGTATTAATTTAGTGATCCTGAAATCATCACACTGGAAGTATTAGATACCTCTACTTGACAGAGAAGCAGAGTTCCCAGAGTCCAAGTAGTTCAAATCAGTCTTGACAGCCTGCTCCCACCCAAAACTGGAGAGCACAGCTGAGGCATCTCTCCTTACTTTTTGCCCAAGAGCACTGCAGGTGAATCTTTGTGCTTTTTTGCACCACAAACACCCTACACAGCGCTTATATCTGAATTCCCTGTTTGGGCCCTGAGTGCACCAACAGCCTTAATTGCCCTGGGCATCCTGACCTAGCATTCACACTGTACACCCTGCTCGTGGGCCTGGGATCCCTGTTTTTGCTCAAGCCAAAATCCAAGGCTTTTTCAGTCATGCTGGGCTGTGACTAAATCTGGTGGCCATGATCAGCCTGCAATGCTCTGCTTGTCACCTCTCCAGGTGAGGCACCAGCCCTACTGTCACCATTAGTTCCTGGCTGCCAGTCCCAGTGGGGCTGCCTCTCTCCCTCTGCCCCCTGGCACTCCTCGCATCTAGGCTACTGGGGATGCTCATCACTTTTATCGCTGTCAGAATGAGAGCTCTAAGCCAGAGATGATTAGTAATTGTAGACTGACAACCAGTCTGCCCCTGTGCAAGCAGGGTGGTTTAGTAGATTCCCAGGCTCTTCCAATCTCCCAAGGTTTCCTGAGTGACAGTTAGTGATAACTAAATATTGAGAAAATGTTGGTAAGTTACTTCCTATTCAGCCATTTCCAAATTGAACCACTGGAGTAACTTCTTTCCGTAAGGAGACCATTAAATTGCTAAATATTTGATTTGCTTCTAAACAACATCCCAGTAGATACTGACAGAGCTTCATTATTTGTTTGAAGATTTGTTTGTACAGCATTGGCAGTCTATTTCCCAAAAGAGCTTCTGGCTGCTTGCCCTCCCAAAGAGTAGCAAAACTCAGCATTAACTGTCTATCCTCGCTCCTACCATACTGAGTGTAAATAGCAACTACATTCAGTTTATTCTCCGCTTTTAATAGCTGTAATTTAAGCCTTTAAATTAATTTATAAAGTCTCTCTCTTTTTACTCATCTACACTACTAAGTTGTGAAAGATTAATTAAAAATAGGATATGTACTATAGCAGGAAATCCTTTCCTAATCTGAACCTCTTGGCATCTTTACCCGGAGCAGAGAATATGGACATAGTGTCTCAGGATGCCCTTCAGCAAGGAAAAAGACAAAGAAAATACTGGGTGGTGGGGCAGCCTCAGCCAGAAATGACACCAAAAACATGCTATTGCAAGACCACGTGGAAGTTACACAGAGATTACCTGCTCAGTGGAGATCTAGGGCATTTGCCTCTTACTCTGAAAATCCTAACTTGACTCAAACCTCTTCTCAGCTTCTAGTTCTAGCAAATGGAGTAGGCTCCCCAGCTGCTGTTAAGCAATGCTGCACCTGGAGGGTTAATTTATTGTAGATAAAGCTATGTCTGAATTTGATTTAACTCCAAGGTTAAGTGCAAGCAAAATCATCCCTTGGCAGACTGTTAAAACACTAGTCTCAATCTCATTATCATTTCCTTTTTGTGATCTTTTTCCTGTTTCTTGGATTTAGTTATTGTTTATGATAAGCAGAGGCCAATTAGCAGAGAGGCTGGCATGTTCTTACACAAAGCTTTTGTATTTTGGGAGTATGATGCAGTCAGCACAATCAGCCGTTTTCCTTCCTTTTCTGCTTTCCTTTCACACTTGGTAAATATGTAGATGCTTGGTAAATGCAAGTGAAATGTTGTGGATGTTGGTAAATATGAGTTAAAAGTCATTTCAATTAAGTGTGCAACAAAACTATTATCTGAGAAGAAAAACATTATTTCCTCATGTCCAGTTGCCTGTGCTGTTACCCCAGTCATCACAGTCCTAAATTGCTTTACTTCAGGTGTTATGGGATGGACATTATTTTCTGTGAAAAGAATTACTGTTGTGTTTTTAAGTCCATATGCTCCATCACTGCAAATTCAAGTGGCACCATAGAATGTGCTTTAGCATTCTGCTCACTGAACTAAAATTTCTCACATAAATAGTTTGCCTTAATGCAGCAGACTGTGAAATGGCTGGATGGGAATCTGAAGATAACTATGGGCATTACTGAAATATCTGTGTGAAGATCCAGTTCAACATTTCCCTGGCAATAAGTAGAGCCTTTTATGACAGGCTTTTTCAGTTCTGACCTACCAATCTAGATTTACCATCGCAGGACTGTGTGGAGTTCTCTTTCCAGAGCTCTGCTGGTAGTTCCTAGGAAAGAAAAGGTTCATTTTCTAAAACATCTGACTTTCATTTGACCAAAACAAGAGAAAGGAAAAAAGTATGGCTTGGGAATGCTTTGAATTCAGAATTTTTTATAGCAATATTTAATTTTTAATGTGGCCTGAATGTTCTCCCCCCCAAAGTGAATGACAACAAGTTATACAATTACACTCAGTAGTTACTGTCTCAGAGCTCAACAGCACTGGACTGACAGATTTCTCTGTATCTACTGGGCGTGATCTGGCCAGCTCATACATAGTCAGGAAGAGAGGCAAGGATATTCTCAGTGAGGGTGCTCTGCAAAACCACCTGTTTCGTATAACTTGTGTTGCTTGCAATACAAAACTTTTACAACAGTCTTGGTAGATATCCTGGAATTGAGTTATTTATGGGCAAGGACAAGTACTGGAAGTGGTTTGGATAGCATTTAAGATCTTTCATCACCAGTAGCCGGATTTTTCTGCAATGGTTGTGACACATCCGGGTGAGTAAAGTCATAGACAGGACAGTCCAACCTGTACACCAGCAGTACAAAAATCTGTGTTTTGGTACGCCCCAGGATAAGCTGGCGCTGTCCAAAAAGACCTGCCTTCTGTGCCTGCACTAGTGAAACAAACCAAAGCGCAGATTTACCTGAACCAGCAGGAGAATAACTACTTATTTTGCCTCACCAAAAGAAGGAAATAAAATTGGATATGTTAGTATTGTCTCTTCCAAGTTTTGCTGTTTGTTTCTGAAGGGCTCTTGCAGTATGGTCAGCTCCAAGCCTCTCAGCACATTCCCATTCTTAGTAAAGATTAATTAGGTAATCCAACATATTTCTTTAATGACATGATTGCAGACTGCCCGATATTCACTTGTGTCGTGGTTTGCTGTAGTGTCTGGGGGCTACCATACAAGAAGGGAAGAAGGAGGCTAAGCCAGCTGTGTGGGGCTCAGCCCAAAAAGTCTACTGTCGCTGTGACCAGCTCAAAAAAGGAAGTGAGCTGGGTGGACTGCAGGTCTCTGTGTCATGCTGTGGCAAGGAAGGGTGGATTCTCAACTCCCCCATCTCCCTATGGTAATGAGTATTCTCCAGACTGAATCTGTCCTGACGATCACCTGTAGGGTCACCCTGCCTTAGATTATCATGGAAAGACTTGTGTAGGGGACAGCAGAAGGAGAATTTCCTAATGCTTGGCTGTAGCCAGGCTTTGCTGGCTTACATTGTAGGGAAGGAGGTCATTAAATTAAAGAGGACAGGAGGGAAGAAATGAGCAAGGGAAAGTTGGTGTTTGTTGACACGGATCTCTTGGACTGTACAATAACAGCTGTTCAGATATCCCAGTCTTTTGATGGTTCTCATAATGTTTGTTGAGTGAGATACTCCAAATAAGTTAGACTTGTAATATCTTTCATCTTATTACATGTACTTGACCTTCTGAGACAAGCAGAACTCACGTTTATAAGTAATTCTGAATAACTGGGAGGCTAGATGAGGGTATGCTGTGTTCAGGCAAAGAGGGAGGCTGGAATAGCAAAGGGTCTGAACAGCCTGGACAGGATCTGAAGTTGGCCTTCACACAGAACCTCGGCAGAAATTCCACTGGGTTTATGAATTGACAAAGAGGCTTTCCAAAATACTGAAAACTTGGGAAGTGTCACTGTAATGACATCGCAACTGAGGTTGTTGGTTTTCCTTCCTCTCTATCACAGGGCAGTATTCAGCTTGTGTCAGTTCCCCGTGCCGGAATGGAGGAACCTGTATCAATGACAGACAGAGTTTTATTTGTGCTTGTCGCCACCCCTTTGGAGGAATCAACTGCAGTACAAAGCTGGTGAACGACAATTCTCTGAGTGTCGGCAAGTAAAGAATTTAGTAGTGCAATATGCTAGCTGTACAGGCCTCTGCCCCAGGGCCTAATTAGAGAGCATTTGCTGGTCAAAGGTCTCACATTTCACTTTAATGAGTGCCAGCTCAAGTAGTAGTGTCCTGTGTTTCGGTGCTGAAGACATCAATCCCTGTGGGTGACTCATGATCTCTTTCTTTAATATGACCAGACGATGGGATTAAATTGGGCTGGGACCAACCATAATAGCTGGAAAGCTCCCTGCGCAATTGTGCAGTGTGGGAGGGTGTGCAATAGATTTATTTGAACATGATATCATGGAATTTGAAGGGGGAGGTAAAATCACATCACTGGGGAATACTGGCTTCAGCACAGCCATAGATGCTCTGTAAATATCAGTAGCTACCATGATGTGTGGGACTGCGGCCTCAACGAGTCATTTTAGGCATGTCTCTGATTTTCATCAGCAAAGGATGCAGCCCTTGAAAGATATTTCAAAAAAGAAAAGTGGAAACTGTGCTAATTCAGTCCAGAAAACAAATAAATAATTTACATTCAGGCCACATGGAATGTGAATTTTATGCAGCTTTCAGCAGCTATTTGGCTGATTCTCACTCCTGACAGCACATGAATAGTGAAGAAAATCATTTGTATAGTGGCAGGGAATCATAGTGTGCAGGCTCAGCTTGAAGAGAAAAACATATATTTTTATTCCCTCATTTAATGTCAGGAGTGCTAAACCTCTTCAGTGTTTGTCTAAAATTTGTGGAGAAAATTCTTGGCTTCAGCTCACACAGATGAACAATGAAAGAGATCCTGGGGTGGGAAAAAATTTGTGGGGGGGAGAGGGAAAGAAAGAAAAGAAAAATAGCAGCTCCCTTAATGATAACATAGTATAGACAAGCATAAAGTTCCCTTGCTGTTTCTAAAATTATTCTTTTGTGAATACACCTAGCACTAATTGTGAAGAAAATTACTTTTTATACAATACAGAAAACCTCTTGTGTTTGTGCAGAAATACTATGTTTCAGTTGCTCAAACTACTGGATGATGTGACTTCAGAACAGCTGCGTTTGAGCTTCTGCCTGGTCCGAGTTGCCTTTACACAATGTAACCTTACTTGAAATTGTTCTTTATTCCTTTCCAGATTTTTCAAAAGGATCATACAGATATGCACCTATGGTGGCTTTTTTTGCCTCTCATACATATGGAATGACGACTCCAGGACCCATCAGATTTAACAATCTGGATGTCAACTACGGAGCTTCATTTGCCCCAGCAACCGGGAAGTTCCATGTTCCATATCTGGGGGTCTATGTTTTTGAATATACCATTGAATCATTTAGTCCACGTGCCTCTGGCTATCTGGTCATTGACGGTATAGACAAACTGACTTTTCAGGCTGAAAATATTAATAGTAACAAGTACACTGACAGAGTAATTACTGGAAATGCTTTATTGGAGTTAAATTATGGTCAAGAAGTCTGGCTCAGACTGGCAACTGGCTCTATACCAGCCAAGTATCCACCAGTAACTACGTTTAGTGGTTACTTGTTGTATCGTACCTAAGTCAGTCATAAATGTAATGCTTGGTTGTAGCCATGTGCACATCTACAAAGAGAGTCCACAGGTTGGAGATAGGGGGGAGATAAGCATCTTCCTTATATAAGCATGACTGGGAAGCGCAAATCTAATTATGTTCTACATTTACATTGCATAAACATACTTACACAAAGTTGCTAAGAATCAGTTCTCAGGATAAATCAAGGCTGGTTTTGATTATTCCTTTGCAACCTGAGTGCATACCAAAGGTGATGGATAGATTTTGATGACTCAGATGCTGGGTTACTACTTAGCTCATTGTATCAAGTGATAATCATGTATATATACTCTGTTTGGAAAAAATATATTTCTTTTTCATTTTGCCTAACATTACTCACCACATACCTTGATATGTTCAGTGTTTAATTGATTCACGATTTTTTTATGTAACCAGTATGATAACAAACTGGTTTTTTATCTAGCTGGAAAAAACCAAGAAGGAATACTTAAGAGCTGTATGTTGATACATCCAGGTTAGAAATAAGGTGCTCATTTTTAGCAGTGAATATAATTAGTCACAGGAAAAACATTGTAATGAATTTGGTGCAGTCTCTCTGTTGCTTGAAACATTTAAACCACAGCTGGATTTTCCTTAGGTGATATGTTTTTGAGTAAACATGGTTATATTGGCTTCACACAGATTTTAGCATGTAAACTTTGGCCTATAAAGTACACAAGGTCAAATGAGATAATCATAGTACTTTCTAAGTTTGAGCTTTATAAATCTATGATTTTGTTTGTTTCTGCTTTATATTCACTAACTACTGAGGCAAGATGAAAAGCACTTCAGTCTGCATAAACCAGAAAGTGATTTCCAAGCACCAATCTAATAAAAAATTATTTTTAGTTCATGCTATGACTGCCTGAAAAAAAAAAAAAAAATCAGTTGCAAAGTCCTGGGTTGCTGCAGTTTCTTGATATCCCATTGACTGGTGTGGCTGACCAGGTTTGTTTCTGGTTATTGCCTTTGTTAATGCTAATTGATCAGGTTTTAGGTCTCTGTGTGTTTGTCTGTCTCCCTTTCCTTACCCTCTCAGCTGAAAAAATAAACTTTCTCACACTCCACGTGCCCTTACCAATTAGTGCCACCAACCAGGTTTGTTCTCATGACCACCTCCCTTACCATGTGTCAGGCACCTTTGCTGCTTCATGTTCTTGCTTATGGCTCCTTTGACCAGCTGCTCTTAAAGGAGCAGATGCTCTCTTTCCATGCCCCTTACATTCAGTTATTGTTAATCTGTGTGCTCCAGTGATCTATGCCAATTTAGTGAAGCCCAGAATATTTTGAAGCTCCCTGAATTATTTTGTTTTCCATTGTCAGGAACTTTTCTTGAAAACACGTGAGAATCTTTAGCTCTCTTTCTTAGTATTACTTAACCTACCTTACCAAATCTTAAGATGAATGCCCATGAAATGGCTGAATTCTCCCACACTGTATGTGGATAAGAGAATTCACAGCATCTTTCATCAGGTGTATAAAACTACACCATGTTGTTCAAAACTCAAATGTGCATTCTCCACCCGGAGCATTGGTACTGAATGCGTGTCTGTGGGCGTGTGCCTGTGTGCACTGGCTACCTGAACTACAGAAGCCTGCAGCGCTGGACAGCATTCTCCCAGCTTCAGGGGGGCATCCTACCATGGCTTGTGCTTAAGGATAGCAATTGAGAATTGATGAAAACTTTAAATCCAAGCCCATTTTCTGAGGCCCTAAATCCACTAATTAATTGTTAAGGGATCTTGCAGCACATAAATAGTTATTAAAATATCCTATGTTTCCTTGAAATATCTGAAAAAAACAGAGCCAGTACTCTAAGGGTCAACTGCAAATCTTGTGAACAGGTTGGGAGAGTTTGCTGTTGTTTATATTTCTGTTTTAATTTTTTGAGGCCAGAAATCCTTTCTTCTTTGTACCTGATGGGTTCTTAATGTACCATGAACCCTGAATGAGTGTGCTACAGACCTTTCTCCTGTTGCATACCATATTTTTCTGTAAACACCCAAAATCTTTGATACGATGCTAACTCAGCCTACCGTATCATTGAATTTTCTCAAATATAATGACCACAAGCCCCGATCCCTCCTTGTACGATTTTGTCATTTTAATGTGTTTAGTCCTCTTTATTCCTGCTGTGGCTATGGCTAAATGGCATGAAAATTACTCTGCAGATGAAATTCAAATGACCCACCAGAGACTGCATCTCTGTTTTAATGTGACTTTCTTTGCCCTTGCTGCCCTTGCCACTAAATTCTTCAAGCTGGGTCCTCATCTTCACAGGCGCTATTTTCCCCTGGCAGCTAGATACTTTCTCTGTCATTGTACTGGTTTTATTTCCTCTTTTCTTTTCTCCTTTTTTCTCACAAAACTCCAAATTCATTGGGGTAGAGTAAGAATTCTGATTAAAACCACATCTGCAGGAGTAACACATAAAAAAATAATTTCCCTAATAGAAAATAGTACTGAAGCTAATTTTTATTGTACTATTTAAAACATGGAAGAAATAATATTTTAAAAATATAATAAATCTACACTCCCCCTTTTATACTGTGCAATAATCCATTCAAGTCTTTCCTTGCATGTTTTAAAGCTATTAAAAGTATACTTGGCTTTGTCTGTTGTTAAAAACTAAAATGCAGATTCTTCACTGTGAAGATAAGTTTGCATTAGCCACTGAGGCTTATTTATGGGCCTGTGACTATGTACCTGTGCTGCCTGGACTAACGAAGCAAACAATATTGAAAAATAACAAGATCAATAAGATCAGTCAGCCTACCCATTATGCAGAATAGACAGCAATCAGTCTGAACTCCCAGGAGAACTTTTTAGGCATCAACCAGGAAAGGTGGTTCCCGAGACACCTTGTCACCCCTCCGCTTTCATTTTCACACTCTGATTTGCATTTCCTAATGACAGCAGGCAGCAAATCTGAACGTTCATCTCTACCCACAGCCCTTGTGAGGGACCACAAAGCCATCCTGAGCCTTTGTACTTCAGAGTGAGTGGTGTTCTCTTTATTTGGGTGACTCAATAACCATGGCAACATTTTGTCTGGTTTGGCTTTGACAAGCCCATCCAATTTACTCCGGAGCTTGCATTATCATTTTCTCACCTATACCAACCAAGTTATCGCTGAACGCATTCCCCAGCCCCTCATATACTTAGCAGTCACGCTGAGATCAGCAGTTTATTTTCCTCACATACGTTTTCTAGCTGAATAGCCAGCACAGCCCCGCTTCACTCCAGCTCGTGCCAAACTTCCCTGCTAACACATGCCTGCCTGATGCTGACTTATGGGTATTTCCCTCTGTCCATATATCAGGGATATTTTTGTTCAATTATTTTTTTCTTGGAGATAACATCTACATTGGCAGCAACCGAGAAGAAAGCTATTGTTTCTGCATTCAGGCATTGACCTGAAAGCATCTATTAGAAGCAATGCTGTAGCTAAACCCCACCAAAATCAGTGGGTATCTGGTGACTAAGTACCTTTGACAGTGGGATAACAAGTGCACTGAGACAGTTGCAAAACTGAATCTTTCTAGCAGCTAAATTAGGGCAGGTGAGCAGAAGAATGCAAAACAATGAAAAACAAAATAAGAAAAATCCCCACTTCTGACATTTCCAAGAACAAAAATGTATACCATGGCTTTACACATCTTTCACTAGTGGCTGCTACTTGGGTGCAGGAACTATTGCCTAGCAGCTCCATGGATTTCATTAACCCTGTCAGGCCATCAGATGTATCACACGGTTAGCAAGGTCTACAATTTTTCATGCAGTTTGAATTTGCTTAATTCCTGCTTCTTTCTATGTTCAGCGGACTGCTAGAAAGCCCAAGCCCCGTCCTCCTGTTCCCATGCTAGAGTGTTACCAAAAGCAGAAGACGGGAATTTTCTTTAGTTATTGCAGAGGAAGTTTTTGCACTTACTAAATCTTCCTGGTGTAATCACATTTTCAGCAGAGTTCTATAAGAGGTACAAGTATTTATCACCACTTCGTATTTAAAATCCACAGTAGAAGTCCCATAGTAGTAATTTTCTCTTTGTAAAGCTGCCATTCTCCCTTTTTGTATGATAGCAGGAGAGTTGTCAAGAGTGAGATATAATGAAACACTGTCTTTAGACAGAACTCCAGTCAAGAGTGCTTGGTAAGAAAACTTTATCAGCAAGCTGCTTCCCAGCTGAAGTTGCTATAGATATGTTACAACCAACACACTGGCTCGTAATGAACTTCCTTGCCCTGCTTCTCCACCCTCAGAAATCTGTGGTGGCTGCTAGCTGAAAACAGTCTTCTGCGTTCACATATTACATGTAAACAAACTGAAGTGTTTCTGAAAATATTTATTGTGGTGGTTGCTGTTGAAGATTCTTATCTTAGAAAATGCAAGTTGCAAACAAAACAGACCATGGGTGTTTACAAACAGAGCACAAGTACTTCCAGAAAGCTTGCTATTTGGATCTGCAGGAGTTGGGACATACTGTACAAATGATCTGAAGTGCCCGGAAGTTCTTTATAAATACCAAAAGCCTTTTGAAAGCTCTTTGAACCCATCATTGGAAACCAGTATATCTCACATCCACACAGGTTAAGCATGATGAGGGCTTGTATGTCTCAAATGAAATCACACATTAGACATTAAACAACTGCTAGAGCATCCTTCCTTCTTATCTAATGGCAAAGTCAAGAACGGTGGCAATTAAAAAAAAAATGCTAGAATGATGGATATGTTTGGACAGAGAATTATCCTCAGCTCTATCTGACTACTCTGACTCCTCTGCAAATTGCCTTGGACGGGAACAAAAAAAAAAAAGTTCAGCCGTCCATTGCTAGGCTACTTATTGCTATTTACTGAAGTGAAAAAATACACGAGAAAATTGTTTATGATTACTTCCTGACAAAGAAAGGGCCATTACCAGCTTATACAAGCAAGAGACAATTTTCAGGCTCAGTGTTTAGACACATTCTA